AAGCAGGTGATATGGATCTCCGTCCTTCTTGCAGTTTCTGACATCAAGCCATCCAAGATTGTTACCCACTGTTCCTAGTCCGACGAGCACCTTTCTCATTCCCCGCCAACAGAGCAGCGGACGGAGCGGGGGCCAGAATCACGGCACCATGAAGCAACCGCTCATCTGGGACTACCATCATGCATGCGTGCATACGTCATCAGCATAAAAAGCAAGCATATACAATCCCGTATCAAATGCTTTTCCTTTAGTCGCATGGTACACATAATTTGAATATGTCAAAGAAAAAGCCATAGCTCCATGTTGTTCAAAGTCTCCCAATGACAAAGAGACACCACAGCTACTGGCTCACTTGGGTATGTATCGCTGCAGGATGTTGGTGAATGTGAAGTAGAGCTCTGGCTTGTTGAGCTTAAGCGGCACCAACGGCTGTAGCAGGTCCATCCAGCCGTTGCCGCGCCGGTAGGTGTCCCGCTGTGACTTGCAGTAGTGGGTGAGCACCGACTCCACGTCCGACATTACCGAGACCCGGTCACCCTCGTCGTTCCCCAGCCGCTCTGCCGACGGCCGGTCAGAGGTCAGAGGCAAGCGGCGAGCGGTCGGCGATCAGAGGTCAGCGATCAGACGTCGGCGGTCCGGGGTCGGCGGTCAGAGGTCACCGGAAACAGGTCAGCGATCAGCTAGTCAGCGGCCAGAGGTCACAGGTCAGTTGGTCAAAGGTCAGCAGTCAGCAGTCAGAGGTTGGCAGACATGGGTCAGCAGTCAGCGGTCGGCCGGTTTGGAACGAGATAATGCCTGTTGGGCTATGATGGGCTTCCGTCGCGACACAGGGCTCCGTCCAGCCCAGGTAAGACCTACTTTGGCACCTTTGGCACGCCCAATTTAGGTCAAATGCTCCTACCCAGTCGGAAGTTGTCACGTGTGTACAAAAACAATGCAACAGGCTACAGGCTACAGCGGTCTGAGATGGGACTAAGACGCCGTGTACGTCTGAGATGCAACTTCGTCGACAAAGGCAAATGTAACGAACTCTGGCCGGTATGTCGCAAAAAGACGTAACCAATAATTCTGAACCTGAATAACCAATGCATTTCTGATTGCTCAGTATAACCATTGTCAGGATCGCCACATTAAACACATATATTTGGGCTTAAGCATGACTTTTTCCATTTCATATCCGTCTTCGCGGAATCAATGTAAATACACCGGTACGCACACAACGCCGTTTAAATTGCTGAACAATGCAAACATAAATACCAAATTAAAGACTTCATCATCGCCAAGTGCATGGATTAAACTGAATTCGATTTGCGACAAAAAGCAGTATCAGCGCAAGCTGAGGCTGACCCGGGCTGAGGACTTCAACCACCTCACGTTCACGCCGAGGTGCGTGACGCATTCCATCTTTGTGTCAAGAGAGCCTTGGCAGCCTTACCGACCAGCTGCTGGATGTCCTCGCGCATCTCGTCTGTTCGGGCAGGTCGTATATGTTGGTGAAGGTCATGAGACCGTCGTCGACGTCCTGCTGTATGTCGAGGCAGGCCAGCCAGGCGGAGCCGCGCAGCTCGTCCGGCAGCGGCCGGCACTTGGCGATGCTGCGCACGTCCACGCCCTCCGGCACGCTCATCAGCGCCGCCTCCAGCTCCAGCGTCCTGCAGCACACATAGGTCACACCTGTCTCAAGCATCCTGCAGCACCCAGGGACTGAGGTCACACCTGGATCCAGCATCTCACAGGTCAAAGAGTAGTGACTGCTTATTGAGATAGCCATCCTGGTACTGATGTCCAATCCCCGGATCATGGGATGTTTAGCCATGGCTATCTTAAGTCAGCATCAGTTGGGATAAATGGTATGAAACTCCTGCTTCTGTTCACATTGAACAATACTGGTAAATATCTGGGGTCATTCTGCATAACCATTCCATACATCATGTGATGTGCAACATGGGGCATCATGTGACATATGACATGTGACATCATGTGACATGTGACAGGACACACACAAACAAAACAAGGTTTTGCTTTGTGCTTCCTTCCTTGACTTTCTTTTATAACTCTGTGGTGATTTGGATGTTGATAAGGCATATGACAAGAATGCAAGCAAATTGTTTCAACCAACAACCATTACAGACTGTCCAGTTTTACAGATTTATTTATTGGTAAGCTGATGTTTGTGGATGCAAATAGCACTGCCCAGCTATGGGGTTTGCATGTGATAAAAGTTCCCCTCCCCATCCTGAGGTCCACTGTGTGGCAATGGTTTGGCCCACCTCTATCATGTTATGCTGAGAATAGCATAGCTTTAAAAAACAAAACCAGTTTACCAACATATTTTTGAAACTAAAGTTGGGTTATCACTAGACCATCTGCAGTGCTCCTCCTTTTTCTACACTTAGTCACAATTACATTCATTTAGATGACATTTATTTAGATGATTACTGCCATTTAGATGACACATAATTACTAACTGCTGTGCTTACAGTGCATGCAGCATCATGGCTCACTTCAAACAGATGTCTGCTTTGTTTTTGCCATGGTTAATGACTGGGAATGAGGGTGGAAGCAGCCTGTGGTGCTTGATGTAGTTTGAAATACTGAGAGGGCTTGCTGGTATCTGGTTCCTGCTCTGCCAGTACTTGCAAACTGGCTGTAGGCAGTGACCACTAGCACAATGTTTTTGGTGTTTGCAGATGAATTGATTTGTAGCAAGCCATTTTATGAAAGCTGTCAGAAAACTTGGGCCCAGAACAGGGTATAATACAGAATTCTGGGATCCAATCTGAATCATGAGGCTATCTGTCAAAAAACCTGGGACCAGAACAATGTATAATCCAGAATTCTGGGATCAAGTCTAAATCATGAGGCTAACATCTGCAATGCAGTATCCTAACACCCAGGAAACAGTGGTCTCATCTGGATCCAGCAATCTCCTCACTGGGAGCTGTCACATGCAAACCTGGCATTTTGAAACATGGGAAGGATAGTACATTCCAGATCCTACATCTCCTACATGGGGAGGTCCATACTCCATGCTAGCCACCTATAATATGGAACAATAAAAATCCTGATCCACCACACTGGTACTGGGAGCAGTAGTAGGATCTGACCCCCAGCATCCTGCAATTCAGGTACAGACTATTAAATCAATTTCCAACCCTAGTATTCCACATAGACCAGAAAGTGTATCACACTCTCATGGCCCCAAAATGCATAGAAGTAGTACCATAATGCTAAAATATGTCCAACAACATTGGGAGCAGCCATATTTCACTCCTGTATTCTGTAACAGAGGGCCTAGTGACCACATTCAGTTCCAATTTACTGCAAAACCAGCTATGACAGTCACATATCTTGTGACACAGGAGAAATTATCAGATCTAGTATTAATTTCCTGCAACAAAGGGACCCAAAATGCCTGCTGTTCCAGCATCGCCAAATGCATGAAACCCATCCCGCTCCAACATCTGCTACCAAAAAGCAAGGCCGTGCCTGTTCTCAGTGATGTGATGACCCTACATAAGCATTTAGTTTCAATTCTACATCTGCAGTTGTGTGGAATTATACATCTAAAATGGGTCCACAATTAACAAGGAGCATTATTATGATGACTTGTCATCTGCTGAGCATTTCAACAACAGCAGTGCAAAAGCAAAGCAGCAAACAAAACACATGCTTTATTTGCTGGTGAAAAACAACCTATCAGTACATGCATGGTGAGTTCTGCACATTAGACCACAACCACATTACCCTTAAGAAAAAACAAGCAGATAATGATTTATGCCTTTAAATCAAACATATATGTATATATAGGCTTCCTTTGACCTGGATTCAGTGGAAATGGTGATGAGACGAACGTAACGCACAACTTCTTACGGTTATACACATGCCATATCCAAATAACTCAGCACTCGCTGGCACAGCTTTCTTTATTGTGTTCATATTTATACTAAACAACAAACGAAATACCGGACGGCATATAAACATGCTTACCATGATGTATCGTCACTGGCAGCGTCACCATCCGACGCCATATTTGTGTCTAATGCTGTGCTGCCAATAATGCTTTGCCAGCCAGATCAAGCTGGGAGGAAATTTCCACCCTATGTGGTAAAATTCAAGTTGCGAAGAAACGTCACACAGAGGTTGCGCAAGATTCCGCAATCGGAGCGACACAGCTCTGGCTGAACCGCTGGACTGGGAAAACCGTTTTAAGGCGCTGCAGTGGCGCGCTATTTCTTGCATGTGGTATAACAGCATCGCATGTTTTCAATCTCGTTATTCTGCTTGTCCGAAACGATCGTCGTGCACCCTTTGTCTACACTCTCGTACGGTATTGAAGAGAAAAGCACGGTGGAGCGATCTGAGTGTTGAGCTGAAAGATGAAATATAATATACATAATCGATAATGGAAATACAATATATCTTACTGAAGACTTGAGCAGCACGATGCATTTTTCACATGGGGCGTCGTGGGCAAGGGCCTAATTCGAGCATTCACGAAAATGACGCAAGCTCAGTCAGTGGCACTAGCACACCAGCTGTTCTGAACACCAAAATATAAACCACCAAAAAAAACACCAAAGCGATCTCATCCAAATATAAAATTACCAAACACTTCTAAGAAATCTTCGAAATACACCACGTCTGGGTGCAATCAGCAAGCAACTTTCTTCTGTTTCATCATATATATTTCCGGTATATACGATGAAAAAGAATACCAGAGTCGGCACATTGTGGTCACCATGGATGCCGGCAGTGAAATCTATTCCGCACCATTGATGGTCCTTTACAAACTGCTGGACGTTTCTAGTGTTCGGATCCGTGCCAGAGCAAAGCAATGTGAACAATGATGTTTGAAGGCCCAATTATAAGATGATGAAAAGAGGATATACAAGTAACGTTGCAAAATACGGTTTTTGCGATTTTTTAGATGGTCGCAATAAAATCTTTAACCTGAGGACCAATCTGGCAACATAATACAACACCGTACCACAAGACCGCACAACCTCCAAACAATGCTACAATGGCATTTCCGTGCTGACAACTGCCAGTAAAGCACGCACATATCAACGTGTTGATCCGGTACAGTAAAAACTCTCGACGTCACTTTTGACCAATGCGGTAGGACACAGCACACATGACTCCGAGTCATACCCAGCATTGTACCTCGTTTCTAGGTTTCACACCAGGACACACCGACCCAGACGCATTATATCGGTCACCGTCCGCTGCTATTGCGAAACAGGCAGGCCGGAACGCAACAGGCCATCTCCACCGGACCCCAACCGGTGACCGAGTTATGCAACGTTATGCAACTGCCAACGTCGCCCACGAGTGATCGGCCTGACGCAACCCGAGCCTGCTGGTGTACGTTGACGGACCGACAGCCCTACAGGTTACAACATCGTAGAAGCAAGCACGGTTGGCCGCCAGCACCGGCGGGAGTTTGCTGGGCGAGTGTCCATTGGCTGATCAGCTAGGATGCTGTCAAGCTTGGCGGCTGTGATTGGTCATCGGAGCGTGACGACAATGATTGGAAGTCGTCAGGTGGCGTCTGCATGACGTCTACTCCGTGTATCACCAGGCCTGGGATGGCGTCCTCCAGCAGTAAGCCCATGTAGGGCAGCAACCGGATGTGATCCATCCGCTCCAGCGTCAGCGACTTCAGATTCCTGCGAAAAGTGGCGCGTTAGTGGAAACTGCCGAACGACGGTGACATCCGACCAAAGAGCATCGGGTTATTGTTGAGAAGGCAAAGCAACACTCTGTGTAGTTGGCATACATAACCAATGTACTCAGCACAATCTAGACGAGCTAAGACCAACCAAATCAGGCATGTGACGTATCAGATAGTACTACCATTCTGCACGCTGGACATTACGCTTATGCATACACATGCTCACGGTCGAAACAACTGGGTTTTTGCCGACGGGTCCTACGTTTTCTCCGACTTCAGACGTATGCACCGAACTGCGAGTGGGGAAAACAGCCACACAGCTGGGTCTCACTTAAGCTGCGCGACGCCCTCGAGGCCCCGCTCCGAGACGCGCCGGCAGCCGCTGAGGTCGAGGTGCTGCAGCTGCTGTCGGAACTCGCCGCACACCCGGTCCACGCACCAGTCGTCCACGTACGGGCAGTCGCGCAGGTACAGCGCCCGCAGCTTGGACAGCCTTACTGCCGCACACGAGAGCAAGACGAGTCAAACCGGCGACCCTCCCAGCCCGACGGACAAACGCCAGCGTGAAGTCGGGACGGCCGGTCGTCCGCGAACGAGTCAGTCGTGTCCGGCATCCCGCGACGGGGACGTCCGGTTCCATTTTCCCACAACAGGCCGGACTTCGTAAGCAGGACTATGGCGTACACAGGGCGGAGTGGCGGCAGCGAAGTGGCACGTAGAATATCAGAAATGCAACAGCGTCTCTACCCCACAAGGCGCCTGGCACGCATTGTCTGCGCCCCTCAGGCGCCACAGCGGCTGACAGATCTGAATCGCAAGGAGAAGTCTTCCGATGCTAATACATAGCCGATCTGAACGTCTTCCGATATGTCATAGAGAAAAGCATGGCGCCGCTCTCCATTGCACTGGACTGCGTGGTCGGCGCCCACCCGCCGGGCGTGACGGGGCTGAGCGGGCCATGCCGACGAAGAGGTTATATATATATATATATATATATATATATATATATATATATATATATATATATATATATGTATATATATATATATGTATATATATATATATATATACAATACACATAAATATACAATAAATACTATAATGTGATCTGATAATATTAATAAAACTCTAGCTGGTATCACTAAGATGGTAGACGGCAGCGCTCACTGAAGTTCTCCAGACCCTCGTAGAGAATCTCCGTGCCACTGGCGTCCAGCTCCTCCACGAACATGCCGTATGTGTACTGGCCTGGTAACGGTATCGACTCATCCTCCAGTCTCTTCACCCATTTCTCGTCACCCTGCCAAGCGGTGGCAGGTAATTAGACGATATCACACAAGTAATCTGCAATGAGTGTTCTGGACTATTTATCGCTGTTCATGCTGCTAGAAGTTTCACCTAGATCCCTCAAGGCATTAAACATGACAATTATTCTAGTCTATTTCAAGCGAAACGAAGTCAGAGCTTCACATGGCACTCTCTCAGTTCAAGCATGTTTGCTAACATCACCACAGGTGGACAGTGGCAAATCACGGATGAGATTGAAATGCTCTCATTCATTCGTCGCAATGTGTCGCGGCTCGGGTTTTGCATCCCCATGAGATGGGGTATGTGTGATGCGCCCACGTCCTAGTGTTAGGAATTTTACTCGATTGCGATGAAATGAATTGTGTATTTTCATCAAAATAAAGTATTATGGGTTTTCACACGATTGGCTACAACAATTCTGTCATCAGATCTACTGGACAACGATTTTGACCGTAGGTGAACAGTGGACCACCATCCTGTTGAACATACAAATGAACGCCTGTTTTTTTCTTTCATAGCGGGTGACGAGTGCGATAGAATAACTGCACGCCAATCAAACGTTCAATAAAAAACACGCGCTCTTGCGTAAAATTTTTAGAAAACTGCCTTTGCGATCCCAAATCGGATGAGTCATGTGTGACGAGACACTGCCAACTTAATTTACATCCAGTAAAAAATGGGAATTGAACGACACCTTTCAAACGTGATGACTGACCTGTTCAAGCCGACTTAAAACCTCAAGCTTATGCACGATGCAACTGATATCGGAAGGGAGCGTTGCCAGACCGTTGCAGCTGTTTGCAGTCGTTGGTCCCAGTGAGCAGCGGCACCGACACATCTCACGCCGCACTGACCTTGAACCGGACGCAGCCGCCGCGGGCCACGACGAAGTGGGCGGCGGCCAGGTCAAAGCCCAGAATCTGGTGACGATCCTCCAGAAATCTGTAGACCACGGGCCGGCAGTCATAAATCGCCCCGGGCGCTAACTCATGAGCTTCAAGGAAGTCACAAGCCAAGACCAGACCAGCAGAAGACATGGTAATTGCTTGAACTGGGTCCGAAGTGCGTTCATCGCCGCTTACTGCCGTTCCCAAATAGCTACCCATGACGTCACAGATAACCATCATATCAAAACAGATCTCAAAGATGCTACACCTTTGCTATGTCTGCGACGAAACAATCTGTGGCGTCACCGGCCATTTACTTCGGACGGCATTTGTCTACCAATACCGAACCAGCAAGCCACATTGCAACACTGCATTAGTTACAATGTTTTGCACTCCACGTTAGACGCACCACATTTCTTACTGTTCTCACGCCAACAAGCAGCCATTTAATACACGTTAATTGAGCGCAGCTGGGGTAACGACAAAAGGAACTCTCTTCGAGATTGGAGGTTCTCGGCGATCTGCAGCGTGAATCTCCTGTGACTGCTCATTCTCTCATTAGCTTGATGTCAGTCATGAGTGACGGCGACATGTCGGTCGCACCAGGTGCTTTTTTCCAGTAGTGGGATAAACTTGGCGTGCTTTTATGTACGCTACTATCTACGGTTCTGCGTCCGATATACTCACTTCTGCTCCAGGTCCGGAGTACTCACCTCTGGTCCAGGACACGGTTCTCCCAGATTTTGTTCTCCATGAAGTTGTGGAAGGCCTTCCGGCTCAGTGCATGAGCATTTAGCTCGCGGAAGTATTCCAGTGTTGACGACTTCGCCGGACGCAGCAGTTCGAAAATGCTGTAGTAATCTATACTCTGCCTCTGTTCATCCTCGTCCATAATCCTGTATGCACAACGAGGATGCATTTGCGTAGCAGTTTAAGGCGTCGATTTTGGACAACAATTTGGGATTTAGGCCACTATGCAGACAAATTTAACGAAACAAACTTTCCCACAAGCGCAGTGCCTTATCAGCTTAACGATTTGCATTTTCCGTACACCAACAACTAGACGAACAATTATTTGTACTGCACAAACACAGATACACATCGTGACAGACCGCAGAGCGCTGATAGTATGCAAACCGGCAGTAGCGACGATCTACATGTTTTTACCTGCATGTCTGCATATCAAGACATGGAACTCAGTAAATGCACCGTATCATGGAAACCAACACAAAATCCGTGACACATACTGTCATATGATCCAAACAACAGAATTACAACTGATGGGCTGAAATAACACATCTTTTGTTATTGCTATCAATTCCAAGAAATGCCTGCATATCACTTATGGCACTGACCATTGCATATCACTCATGGCACTGACCATTGAGCCAAACTGAAAAGCCCTGTCAGCTCTGCTGACTGTTGCTTGTGACAATCACCCCATTGTTGCATGTGTGTATATGTCGCACATGGATATTGTGGCATGAGTGGCCACCATCTGCGCTAACCTGCGTTCAAGCTGGGCAGGGCTCTCCTTCTCAGTATCAGAGGCCATCTGGCGGTGCAGCGCAGTCAGCTGCCTACGCAGCCGACCAGGGCAGCGGCGCAGGCTGAACATGGCGTGTCTGGTACAGTGGGACTGGAACAGCAGGCGGAACTGACTGATAATAAGTTTACAGGCTTTATGATTCATACCCAATGAGTATCCTGTAAGTGATTGTAAAAAGAAAGTATTTTATATACAGGGGTGTGGATTCCTATTCAGTTGAGAGCTTCAGCCCTTCCTCCTCCACCCACCACCAACTTGGGCTTCAGTTCCTCCCCTGCCCCCACTTTGGAAAGAAAGTGGGCCAGATCTGGGGAGAAACCTGTTGGTTAGCATATTCTTGAATTAGAGTATGTAATTTCACCATGTTCAGCCCCCAACTAATTTTGAGAAATCATACCCCTGGTTAGATATGTTCTGTTTATAAGCATCAAAACTCTGTAAGAGAAGCAGTCAGGTGATCTGTAGAAGCATTCAGCTGTTTCTACTGAGAGGTGCCATGTCCATCTGGATATCCAAGCATGCTTATAAACTTAAGCCAAGAGTGCCACTTAACTTAATAAATCCATGCATAAGACTACTGCAGATTAAATATAATATCCATAGTACATATGACATACTGAAACACACTCAACTGATACACCAGCACTATGCAGATTGAAATACATAGTTACATAATAGTGGACTGCCTTGATAGATCCCACCATTCTTCATTAAGGATGTAGAATGAGCTCTGTTTCTCCACCAGGCTACAATTAATTATAACATGCAATCAGGACTCCACATACCAGGTAAAATGAGGGGCCCTGCTCTGCAATTAGGCTTTGTCCATCTCATAGAGGGGACTCAAGCTGCGGGGCTGGAGCCCAGCCCCAATCAATGTAAAACTACACCACCAGTTACCTGTATACACCTGTGCTGTGACACAATATTGATGACAAATGACAACTGAGAGCTGACAGAGAAAAGAAACAGCAAGAGGTGGTAATGTAAGCCCATCTGTTCAGTGTGACTAAATTCATATGTAAAACAAGGGCCATAATTTGGTACACATATGCAAGCTAATTTCCCATACAATACATGAATTGGTAATACAATATGTCATATTTGAAGAGAAATGGAATAACTGCACAACAAACGGGGAAAAACCTTAAACATATTTCTTCTTTCAGGCCCTGGCAAGAGCTTTGAAAAGCCGGACATAATAAGTATTTGACAAACAGAGGCATCCACTCCACATGGTTAACAGAATCACCTCACTCACTTCTGTTCACTGCATGGTCTACGCGGCGTATGCCCTATATGTATTCACCCCGCAGAAGATTCAGCGAGTTGGTTTATCACCAAACACACGTTCTCAAAGAGTAGACGACTCAATGTGCACCTAGCGCGACCACCACGGGCACCACGCACACCAATCGAATCCGAGGTGTGGTGCCCTACTCGCTCCTACCTTACAATTTTTTCGGGGTTACAGGATTGGTCGCAACCACGCCAGAAAAGCGTTATTTGCTGTAGTGAGCATCCAAGTACATTGTGTGAGATTCAAATACTTGGAGATGTAATTTTTGGAGGACTTAATCTAACATCCAATAGTTAATCAAATAAATTATCGATCTATTTGAAAATTTACTATCTAAGGCTGAAAATATGACTGTATCTGGAATCCCTCGTAAGTGTACATCTAAAATGGGAGTACTTTACAGGAGGTTTGTCCATCTAGCACTATAAAACAAGCTTTGTTGGCGCACCAGCGACATAACAAATAAGTTAGTTTTTTGCGTTCCACACTCAAGTATTTACTCTGTAATTTCGAATCACATTTCGTGATTACACCCTGTTGGTTGCTCATGGCGGCCATGCTCCCGAAACGCACCCGCTGTATGGGAGTGAGCTTGCAAGCATCTACCTTGAAGCAGCTTTCTTGCAGTATGGAAGTCGGTATGCGAGCACCTACCTTACCTTACCTTACTTAGATTGGTACCTAGCTATTTGGCTGTTATTCGAATCCCGTATATTTGTGCCCGTTCTGGACCGGACCGATTAAGTAATCATGCTGAGCATTCCTGACGAGTTGAAGATCATCGAGCAGAGGTAAGCCAGCATATGTTTTCCAGATTTTCCTGATTGGGTGCAGGTATGACATATATTTTATTTGCCTGCTTGGAAATGTAAAGGTCATGCATTTTGCTCACCTAATATTTTGTTTTTAGTGATGGCGTGAAACAGGAACCCTTAATAGATCACCTTGACTAGGCTCAATTTAAAATTGCCAAGCATCCTTACATTTGGATGGAGGCATTGATTTAATAAGAAATAGCAAACAGAAAGGTAAAATAGTGCTTAGCAAGGCACATTCAATGCAGTCTGCAAACCATGACAGATTTTGAAAAGGTCTTGTTGGGGCCAAGGTGGGATGCAATGTCCACTCTACCTTGAACCCTGTTTTGTGTACCTTGAAGTATTCAGATTCAGGCCACTTGGGCTTGTGACATTTGATCTCATTGTGTCCAACACATTCTAGTGAATCATACATTTTATTCACATATTGGACACCTAGCTGTTTGTCTTTAGTTGCTAGTTCTTGTTTGCTGTTTTTTGTACTCAATCACTAGTGGTGGAGGCTGTTCCATGGATTGTGTGTGTGTTACTGGGGCTTTATGAGGCACTCAGCTGCTGAGGCTATATGGTGTTGTGTGCCTCTCACCCTGGCAGGAAGGGCAGGCATGGCGGGAAATCAAACTGAGAACCTCTGGTTCCCCAGATGCGCAGTGGTTAACGCAGATGCGTTGACCACTGCACTACGGGCACCCCTTTCATGGTTCCATGGATTGATCACCCTGATGCTTAAGTGATATTGCCTCAAAATTTTAAATGTCTCAGGATTGGTTTATTTTTGGGGTACCCTCTTATTGATCTTTCAGTTGCCAATGTGAGGAGGTTTCAGTTTCCAGGTTGAAAATCCCATGTTGGATGCTATATACAAATGGTTTCAACTACACTAGTGCCTGGGGCATGTTGCTGGCTGTTGTGAAATGTTGCACTGTGCTGAACACATGCCTCATCCCTCACAGCTCAGTACTCTTCTCCATGGAGGGGCCATTGCCTGAACTCCTGAAAACATTGTGTGAAAGCCTGCTCCAGGTCATGGATTGGAGTGTGTTGCCAGATGCATACATTGATGAGGTAGGGCTTATCCTGAAAGGCAGAAGCTGAACATGGTAACCTGCTTGCCTGCAGCTCGTCAGAAGAGGAGCGCCAGTCACGGGTGCAGCAGCTTCAGGCACGACTCAGGGAAGAGGATATGCGCAGGAAGCTGCGTAACGTGAAGCTGATTAGCAGCGTGGAGCGGCTGGGCGAGCGAGCCGGCGCACTCAGACAGCTTACCGATCGACTCACGCTCATCAAGGTGCAGTGAGATCGGGGGAAGAAGGCAGTCCAGGCTGCAAGCATTTCATTTATGTAAAGCCCATGTGAAACTGTCCTGAGGCAGTGACACTTCCTATCACAGGAGTCCAAAAGACGTATCATAACTAACAGATCAACTGGTCAACCGGCTGATGACTAACACTGACCACGTATGTAGATTTACATGCACAATGCACACACATACACAAGCACGCACGCTCACGCGCACGCACGCACGCGGCGCGCGCACGAAACGCATGCTCGCACGCGTGAGACGCACGCGCGCACGATATATATATATATATATATATATATATATATATATATATATAATAGCTAGCTAGTTAGTAAGGCATTGGTTAGTTAGTTAATCACAAGGTAATACACCATGTGGTGGAAAGAAAACATGTTCACATGCATGCTTTGCGTAATGAATGATGTCACTGGTTGGCCGTGAGGCCTGCTAGTTATACCGGAATTTTTGCTGGATTGACAGGGTTGCTGTTTGGAACAACTCTGTATCTGTTTGAGAGTCTGCTAAAAATGTACTCCTCCCTCGGAGTGGCGTTTTTTTACAGCAAATCTCTGCTGTATCCCTAAAATGTCGGTTTTGGATATTTTTCTGCAAGTTCACGGCTCACCCTTCCAAAAACTTGTGATCAAGGTTAAGTGCATATTATCTGTAAGTTGTCATTGGTTACCATTGGTTTTTACATTTATTATGCTGAGGGCTGCTCTCGTGTTTGTATCAACTAAAAAGGTTTTACTTGTGTAACTAGTTGTTAAATCACTAGTGTGGGTAGCCAACTGTACCTGTCACTGTCACCTGTCACACTGTACCTGTCAACTGACTAGCTACGCGTCACGCAAAGACCGGCAGTAAACGTGACTTGTGGCTGCACATGACTTGCTGACGTCATATCCCACAGCGGCAGTACGAGGTGCTGTCAACCCACCTGTCGGAGGAGGCGCCTGTCGACCAATCACAGCACGGCGACGCCGTCACACCACTGCGTGCCAGTCAATCAGGAATGCCCGTTGCCGAGACCGTGTTTCGCCAGTCCCGAGTCAACCTGGGTAAGTCCATGCAGATATTGGTGCCCACATGTCTCAAGCTAGTTGATTGTGACACCCTGTCTGCAACGATTCGGGTCTCCAAGCATTTGTCTATCCTAATCCATGTCTGGACAATGATTTCCGTGTTTGTGTTTCAAGCGTATTCTCTGTCCGGTGTTCCCATGTATCCGTGCTCACCGCGCCTGCCGGTGTGTTTGGCTAGCTGCGACCCTGGCGTGCCGCGCGCAGGCGGACCATGAGAGCTGCGTGTCTCGCCGCAGGGATGGCCACTGGAGGCGGGGACGTGGCTGAGGCCGCCACTGCGGTCCTGGCGGGCTACCAGGACCCCAGGTCAGGCTACCGGCAGACCGTGGCGTGGCTGGCGCAAAACTGGTTCATTCCCTTGGCCGATGGCGACCGAGTGGCGGCAACGATGTTAAACGTTGCTTACAGTAACGGGAATGCTGTTACGCTGTTACGCTGGAACAGCTGTTACGTCGTGTGAGCCCGTGTATTCTAGTGGTGGAAGTGAACGTAGCGTGTATTCGCCTGGACTCATCCAAAAACCGACTGGCACCTGCGAGCGTCGGGTCCCTACCGCCGCCTCAGCGGCCGACCCTTGACCCCCGGCGAATCGGGAGACCCGCAGTCACGTGACGCCTCCCGGCATCCAGTGAGATACAGAGTTCGGAAGACAGCGAGGGCGAGGGCGCACAACCCGCACAATCACACCACAAATGATTAGCGCTAAAAGTATGAATTCGGGCTCATCAGTGTCTGAGACGTTTTATGTGTCCTGGATGTGATATGACATTATCTACAGATGGTGATCGCCGTGATGGGTTAGCCGAGTGAACGCGGCTCGACGCCGGTGCCGGTCGGTCGCGGCCTTCTGTCCCCGGTGACCGCGTGACCCAGCTCGCATCACCAGCCACCCGTGTGACCGGCGTGACCCGGCTGGCGATGTGCGCAGGCTTTCGGCGGCCGACGGCGGCTGGCAGCCGGACCGGGACAGCCTGGGCCGCTCGGTGCAGGGCCGGGCGGCGCTGCTTCGGGCGCGGATGGCCACCGCGCTCCCGGGGCGGCCTCCGCCGCTGCCGCAGCCGCACGCTGGCGCCGCGGACTGGACCACGGGCCGGTCAGCGCCGCCGAGCCGGCCGGCCTCGACCGGGCGTCAGTGTCGCACGAGCGGTCGGCGGCCATGCAGGACCGCTCGCTGTCGGAGTACTCGGTGTCGGCGCCGGGCCGCCGCCGGCCGGCGCCGACGGTACGCTGGAGGCGTGGCGAGC